CCTGTCTTAGTCAGCTTTCTGTAACTGTGACAAATGGCTAAGAAAGTTAACTTAAAAGAGAGAAAGATTTCAGTCCAGAGTCACTTGGCCCCGTTGCATGGTATACTGTGATCTGTGATGGGAACTCGTGGTGGATGGGGCTGCTTACCTTTTGGGCACAAGGAAATGAATGAGAAAGGGGGGCAGCGGGGGCCCCGTTCCTTTGCATGTACATGCTATGCTTCCTGTGACCTAAATCCAGAACTTCTACTAGGCTCTGTGCCTGAGTGTTCAACCATCTTCCAAGAGTGTCACACGCTTAGGACCAAATCTCCACCATAGTAACTGGGAGGCATGTGAGTGCTTTTTATAAAATATCCAAAAATTGGCAGTAATAATAAGTCTTTGATTTAAATGTTAAAAAATCAACTCTAGTACATGATAAGTTTTTGAAAACTGTAAAATATTATGTGAATTTGATTTTTTTTTTAATGTGAGAAATAGGGTTTCCTATTAGGATTTCAAACTGAATCAGTTTGTTAAGTTGGCCCCTAAGGTCACTTTTCTTAAATTTATAAGAAATCATCATCTTTACTGTATACATAACTAGAACTTGATTTGTATATTTCACTACTCGTTCTCTGGACTAGAATTTATTGAGCATTTATAATAAATATAGTGTTTTTGATTTAAGGATATAAGTAATACTCTATCACATGGTGGTTTAGGAAATTATCCTCCTGTAAGTGAAATTTGTATTTTAAATGTTCCAGCATGTCTTGGTTACTTTTCTCGCATTGCTGGGACAAAATATTCCACCCAAAATTAAGGAAGCAAAAGTTAATTTAACTCATAGTTTGTGCAGTTTTCAGTTCATAATCAGCTGGCTCCAAAGCACAGGGCAACACTTCAAGGTGGCCTAAGATAGCAAAATCAGAAAGATCAAAAAGGCGTGGCTGGTGGATAGGGTAACAAGCCTTTTCTCCTACCTTATATTATAAGCAGGCTATTACCCCCACCAGGGTAGGTGTAGCTCTACACTACCCCTGTGTCCTCCTCTTGTACAGGCTGAGGATGTTTACAAATAGAGGACTTTGGCTCCCTGCTGAGTCTCTTAAACTTTTAAACTTCTTGAGTTGAGGCAATGTATCAAACATAACACAGTGTGATTTTATACCTATACCTTAACATATTACACTATCTTTATTGCTTATGCAAAGCTAAGGATATTTCTTTGCTCCAGCAGAAATATGAACAAATTGTGCCCTAAATATAGGTGGAAAAATAATTGGAAACAAAATGTCTCCTAGTTCATAGTTCCAACATGAAAACAATTACTAATTTATCTTAGCAATGAATACCATAACCCCAAGTAAACTTTTAAATTAAGAAGTGGTTAAGTTTATTTTGGAAATGCATATTTTTAAGTCCTGGTATCTCGGAACTCTTAAATTTAACCATTAGAAGAACTCAGTCATCATTAGTTAGACTTAAGATGTGGTTTTAAAGGTCAAGCTTCCATCAAAGAAAAAATGCAGGACACATTTCCAGAGTGTTCTTTCTGCCTCTCCTCCCAAAGATCTAATTGTGTGGAGGAGTTTCAGATCATAAAAGTTTGCATGGAAAATGTGTTTGAGGAATGCCTGAGAAAGACTGGAGATTTCATAGATAAATTATCTGAATTGGCTGAAGTCAGGGGTAAAGACATAATAGCATTTTGAATACTGATTTCTTGGTAAATGAAATGAAGGAGTTAACTCACTTGATTTGATACAGGAAGAAGGAAAGGTTCACTCTAATTAAAACTACAAACAATGCAGATGCCTGTAGCTCTGAGCTGCAGACACGGTAAGGACGACACTGTAAGTGAAATGAAATGTACCTAGCAGCCCCAGCAGCAGGCTGGAGCCGTGTTCAGCAAAAGTAATTTAATTAGTGTTGATCATGACTCCAGATGATGGTGATTTGATAAGGAATAATTTAGTACTTAACAGCCTTTTACATGCACCAACTCCATGTGGGAAGGTAAAGCAAATTGCACAAAATGAATGCGCTGCTCTCGCTTGCGCCTGTGCCAATGAGCTGGAAAACCGCCGCTTAGCAGACGCTCAGACTCACAGCCCTGTGATGAAATACCCAGCACGCTTTCAGCTCAGCCCTCCCTGGTGGGAGTCTCCAAACTACCCTGACTTAGGAACAAATAAGAGAAGCCATTTCTGTGACATGGGATCTCCAAGAAACAGGAAATAAAGTGCCCTGGGGTTCTTGTTCAGAAGATCTTCAGACAGGCTTTCTCTTTTATTTCTCACATGCAGCAATTAAAAATCATATCCTTGCCAACTCAGATTCATTGGATTACTTATTTGGCTTGTGATTAGGAAAGGCGCAATCAGGTTTGGGGGCCCACACACATCAAATGTGTGAAGAGTATAGAAGCCTGCAACTGCTGGTATTGGAGAACCTCTAGAGGTCCTTGAGTGTTGACATTAAAGAGAAGGCATTGCTAAATATATTTTTAAGAAGTCCTTTCAAGTGTTGGACCAACTTGAATGCAGTGCACACTAGACCTAGGTATTGCAAAGCATCACAGTGGTTTCAAAATTTGCCCAGTTGTGAGAAGTACCTAGACATTTCTCCTTTCCTTTTTATCAGTACTGGGGATCGAACTCACGACTGCCTGCTTTCAAGGCAGGCGCTTATGCTGCTGAGCTAAACCCCCAGCCCCGTACCTAGACATTTTTATAGCATACAAAATCTCAATACATCTACCTAGTTGATCAAAATTTCCTGGAGTGGTATGTTTTTTGTTGTTGTTTTGGTTGCCATTAAGTAGGTTACTTAGCAAGTAAAAATGGATTAATTAAGGGCCAGGAATATAGCTCAGCTGCACAAGTGCCTACCTGGCCAACGCAAGGTCCTGAGTTTGATTCCTGGTACCAAAATCAACCAAAAGAAACAAAATGGGGCTAAAATGTCTCCAGATTCTGGAGGCCAGAAACTCAAAATGGATATATGAGGAGTTCTGAGAGAAGTGAGGGAGAACTTAGTTCCTGCCTTTCCCCTCGCTTCTGGTGGTGGGCTGACTGTGTCTGGCTGACTTCAGCTCTCCTTGGCTTCTAGAAGTGCCATCTTCACAAGGTGTTTTCTGTGTTCATGTCTCTGTATCTAAATTTCCTCCTTTTTAGGACACCAGTCATACTGGATTAGGGCTGTCTTAGTAATGTCATCTTAATTTAATTAATTCCAAGTAAGGTCACGTATTTATCAACCAAAGGCAATTCTTTCTCTTTTGATTAGTTTTGCCTATTTTAAAATTTCTATTTATGTACTCTTTTGTGCTTCACTTCTTCTTCTTTTCTTTTTTTAACTTTGTGCTTATGAGACCATCTATATTTTCAGATGCATTGGTAGGGACTTTGTCCCAAAATATTGATTCCACCGTATGAATATAGAATGATTTATCCACCCTTTTACCAATGAATATTTGAGTTTTTTGATTCTTGCTATCACAAATAAAGCTTCTATGAACATTCTTATGTATGTCTCTTAGTGAACATATGTATTCCCTTCTCTTGCATATAAACCTTTTATTGCAATTATTGGATTATAAGGCACCTGCAAAGATTAAACATTTTACAAATAGAAGTTTGCTGGTGTGGTTGTATGTGACTGTAACCCTAGTACACAGGATGCTGAAAGGCAGGAGGACTGTGAGTTTGAGCTACATAGTGAATCTGAAGCCAATCTGGATTGAACTGCTATAAAAGAAAAAACAAAACAAAACCTAAATTCATTCTTGTGTCTATATCCTCTGATTTTTTTTGAAAGTGAAATTGCCATTTACATTGAAATTTTGATTAGTTTGATAGAATCTCTAATAGTTTCATTCAGTTTCATACTGAAGAATAAAAATCATATAGGGAGTTAGGTGTTTCGTTTTGAGGAAAATACCAGGGCTGGCGTTCTGAGCAGGTACCTTACCACTTCCCTACATCATCAGCTTTTTCACAAAGTTTTTACTGTATTTTGAGACAGAGCTTTGGTAAGTTGCTCAGCCAGGCCTTGAATTTGCAATTTTTCTATCTTATCCTGTTGAGTATTATCCTGTTGAGTTGGAATTACAGGTGCAAACTACCATGCTTGGCTATCCCTTGATTTTTAAAGTGATTTATTCTAGTCTTCATATTTTATGACATAACTTCTATATTACAATAAGCCCAAGTGAACACATATTAACCATAACCATACACTGTCATATGAAAAATGAAAAATATCGCTTGTTATAGAATAATTATTTCATAGTAGATGACACATGGCAAATAAATTTCATATATCTTTCATATTTCATTTTTCACAATTCTAGTAGGCAGGTATTTTAAATTTTTTTGGTCTTTTTCATTTTTATCAGTACCAGGGATCGAACTCACGACTGCCTGCTTACAAGGCAGGCACTTATGCCGCTGAACTAAATCCCCAGCCCCTTAAATTTTATTTTATAAATAACCACCAGCCTTAAATGTATTGAATTTTTGACCAAAATTTTGACTTTCTTCTGGATCTATAGCTGGGTTTTCTTTGTCATAGTCTGGGTTTCTTTCCATTAAACCATTACAATTGATGTATTTGAGATGCTTATCTTTCAAAAATGCTTAAAGTTATATTCTACTTGAGTCATGGCCAATCGTACAACTTTTTTTTCCCCTGTGGTAGCTGTTGGGAATCTTTCTGAAATGTCTTCAAAATTTCCTTTTAGAAAACTGAGCTTCTAACATGGTTCGTATTAGCTAAACAAATAAGTGATTTGATTTACTTTATGAGGAAAGACTATGTATTTTATTTATGCAATAAAAGAAAGTAGTATACAGTATGTTACGGTTATCTCTTTTTTTTGCCACTGAAATTAATCAGATATGCTTTGTGTTACATATGTAAGTTAATATGAAATGCTAGTGGTATTTTAAACAAGGCAAAAGTAACCATATTTAATTCCCGTGGATATTTTTGTTTTGTTTGTGTTTTAGTGGCTTTTCATGGCCTGCCATTGAAAATCAAGAAAGAACCTCACAGTCCTTGCTCAGAACTCGGCTCTGCCTGCAGTCAAGAGCAGCCCTTTAAGTTCAGCTATGGAGAAAAGTGCCTGTACAATGTCAGGTAAGCAACCATGTCTATGCATATTAAGTTGTGGTTCTTACTAAAACAAAAAGTCCAAAAGACCTAAAATCTCCAGTCAATACTGATGAATTACCTCTTCAGTATGTAGCAAGCTAATTAGATGATGTATTTAGCACAGCTCAAAAGAATCATTTACTATACAATTATACACTTTTTAGCATCATTTTAAAGCAATAATTTTCACTCACATCATTTGTTGCTTTTCTTCTGTACTGATGCATCTTGGGCCTGGGTCATATTTGGCACAAGCATCATTTGAAAGTTCCCATTAGAATGAATGCGTTATGCACTTTAGATAGAGAGTTGGTAGGAAAAAAATGAAACATTTGGCAAGTCTGAGCAGTACATTAGTTATCTGACAGGCTTTGCGAATGATCTATAAGATGCATTCATAGACAATTGCAATAAAACCAGAGTTTTATAAGGCCTAGCAGAGGCTATTATCTATGAAAAAGCCAGTCATTCTGTGATAATAAAGGGTGGTGCAGTAAAAGTACATTGTTCATTTGTTAGAAAACTTGATAACATATATGTTCATTAAAAACCCTTCACAGTGAATTGCACGCTTTTACTTTTCATATGGACCTCTAATTGCATAAAGAAAAAGTTGGCTTTGACTATTGAATGTTACTCTCAATTACGGGAGAAACCTGGTTCTTAAAAGGATTTGGTTCGGACACTTATAAAATTGATTCAAAATATTTTCCCTGTTTTATAAGTTATATCAATTAGGCTCATAATGCATTATGATCTAGAGGCATTTTTTGTTTTTTGTACATTTACTGCGTTCATTCTTTGTATCCAAGAAGGTTCTTGAAATTCAGATTTTTACCATCACAGGGCAGCTGACCAGTGCTCAGGTATTTCATTGCGATTTGTTCTTGCAATTTGTCTTTTATATTTGCTTTTCTAAGAGATTCACCAGACCTGGGAAGTTGTGAGCCGTCTCAGTTGAAATATCTAAGCTTTTATAAAAAAAAGATCTCATATCTATGAAAGTATAATGAATTCAGATAAAATAATATTGATCAATCTGAGTTTTATCGTTTACTAGGATATTTTTGGTATTGTCTTCATAAAGTTCTGTACATCCACAGTATAGGTATTTAACATACAGAAGAATTTCCAATCAATGAACCAGTTAGAGATAGAATTGTTTTTGCATTTCAAGACTGATGAGAACTGTCTGTGAAATCCCTGTTGTTTTAGATGATGTATCTGATGTCCCAAAATGAACTATAGAGCAGTTGCCTGAATATTTTGATGCTTTTGGGGATCAATAAGTCTCACAATGATGTGTAGCATATGCAATAAATTCTGGTACTTCTATCTCTATGCAAACAATGTGATTTAATACAAGGTTATGTGACAGAAAAAGCAGTATCTTAGGATTGAAAATGTGTCCTCTAGTTATTATAGAAGTAAGTCAGGTGAGCCATTTTCGAAAAATGATTTTCATTCTGAAATAATAGTAAAGGACACAGATGCAGCAAACACAAGGGTAAGTGTATTTGGCTTTGTTTAAAGTTATGTAGCTGTGTGTAGCATATACTCTTTCATTTTAATGTGGTATTTTTGCATTTGGATGTATTTTTTGCATTGATGGACTAAGTTATTATACATGGCCAGCCAAAAAAGAGTATTTCTTTTTAAGAAACAGTAGGTATCAGTTACTTTTTTTCCTCTCTGCAGTACTGAAGACTGAACCTTGGGCCTTGTATATACTAGACAAAGATTCTACTGCTCAGCTACATTCTCAACCCTTATTTATTTTGAGATAGGATTTTGCTAAGCTGCCCAGAATGATTGTGATTCTCCTACGTCAGCTTCCCAAGTAGCTGGGATTTTATGCTTGTGACACCACTCAAACCTTGATTAAAATTTTTTGAAGGAAGTATAGTGATTTAACCTGAAAATTCCATTTTTATTCAGACATTTAAGTAAAATTTGTTTTTAGTAAAACATAGATTATAAAAATTTAATCATATTCCTAAAAACCATGCATAGGAAAGCATTAAATTCATAATAGAAAAATCAAACTTACTTATCCCATTTTTTGTAAGTTTAAGCAGAAGCTAGACTATGATAATATAATTTCATTCTTAATAGCATTATTTTGTACTCATATTCTGAGAAACTTTAAGTATATCAGAGACATTTTTAATTTACCTCATGAATCTTTATTAGCCAATCTGGGGAAGTTGATGTCAAGTATCATCTATTTAAGCTAAAAAAAAATTTCAAAAAGCAAAACACCACTGCCTTTAAATTCCACCACAAATAAAAGCTAAACCAAATAAAATCTGCATCTTACTGAACTGATGTAGTTCTTTTAAATGTAATATAAATAATTATAATATCAAAACTATGTGCTCACCTCATCAGCACATAGACTAAAATAATATCAGTACTATTTAATGATTTAGAAACCATTTATCCATGTTACTCCCAGATTTACCAAAACTAGGTACGAGGGGACAGATATGATGAAAATATATTATACTTATTGAAACTCAATGGTTTATCGAATTAGTGAGTGCTAAAAGTATACTTTTAAAAAGAGAAAAAAATATACCATTGTTTTTATTGGTAGTGACTTTCCTAGTACTTAATTACTGTTTATGTATTAAAGTACATATTTTATACACATGCATGCTATTACAGGGTTTTGTACTAATTATTCTACTTTCTGTTTAACAGTGTAGTGAATTTGAGGTCTACATTTTCTGGGACTAAAAAAATTTAAAAAAAACACAAAATTATAATTTCCTTAGGTCCTAAATTAAAATAATTTTCCCTTGGAATGGAAATACGTTTTTTAAAATATGCTATAAAAAAACAAGGTTCTCTTCTCCTTGTTTCTTGGGTAGTGCCTATGATCAGAAGCCACAAGTGGGAATGAGGCCCTCCAACCCTCCCACGCCATCCAGCACTCCGGTGTCTCCACTGCACCATGCATCTCCAAACTCAACTCACACTCCGAAACCTGATCGCGTCTTCCCTGCTCACCTCCCTCCATCGCAGTCCATACCAGATAACAGCTACCCCATGGACCACAGGTAAACTGCAGATCCTATGCTTTCAAAATCTATTTTGCATTGCGGGAAATTCCTTTCAGTGTTTCTGAAAGTCTCTGGTAGTTTTAAAGTGAGCTTACTAATTTTGCACGCCTGTGTAAAATAGTTTTAGAAAGAGCTTGGTCTATCTATACTTATAAATAATTTGTAGAGAAAGCCATTTTGAAACATTTTCCTTATAAACATTTAAATTGGTTGCTAAAATGGAAAATTAATCTATAGACTGACATTTGAGCATTTCCCTTTCACTTTGCTTGAATTAAATTGCTTCACTTAAACTTTACATCAGATCATCCCATGTCTGTGAGCATATGTGTGTACTTGTTCTATAAAGTTATGAGACTAATTTTAGTAGGTGGTTTATGGAATTAGGTTCTTTACCTTAGATTGAATGGTTTAGCTATATATAGTTTTTCAGAATATAACTTAGTTTATTGAAACTATTTACTGGCCTTTCCAAATGATGAATATGTAACATCAGTAAACTCTTGAGCCTGAACACTGACACTACACAGCTGAAGAGATAAAGACTGAGTTAATATTCTGACAAAAGAGCAAGCTAAGCGCCAGAGCACAGAACTAGAGACAATGCTGTAGTGTGAAGTTGTTGACTCTTGGGAATGAAGAAAGAAAATATTGGAAGACGTATAGAGGCCCTAAGACATTGCTTCAAGATATGACTTAAACTACGGGTTGATTACAGCCAGCAAAACCCCTTATCCCTTTTACTTTATATTTGCATTGGACCACTGATGTTCTGGTACATGTTCAACAGTGGACTCAGTGGGAGAAAACCCTAAAGGTCTTATCTGTAGCATTTTCTGGGCTGAAGATGTGAAGCTGGTCCATGGGTGACCATGAGCTATTACTATGACAGCTCTGAATACCATGTTGGAAAGAGACGTGCAGTAGCAAGCCATCATTCATTACTGGATCTTATGGATACAGAAATCATACCCCAAGAGCATAATTAATAGTGAAGTGTAGTAGAATACAGAGGAAAGTGGTGAGTTTTGAGTTTCTAGTCCCTTTAATATATTTCTTTTAATTGTCGAGTTATGTAACTCAGTGTTTAAAGATAGTGCTTAACACTTGTCTCAAAGAATCTCTGCACATTTAACCATAAGTCAGGACCATAGCTGTCTCTGATACTCAATTGTACAATAACTGGGCCCAAGGAATCCTCGAGATCAGTCTAGGAAACAGGTGTGTCACAGGTAACTTTCTAAACATAAGGCAGGACTCTTTTCTGGATTATTTAATGGACTCAGCTCAAATTCAGGAGCTCTTGCAGAGTGTGATGGTGCATGCCTGAGATCCCAGCACTGGAGAGGCTGGAGCAGGAGGATCACAATGGATTACATTGTGAGACTGTGTCTCAAAAAAAAAAAAAAAAAATAAATAAATAAAAAAATAAATCAAGAACTCTTTTTGGTATAAAGGATCAAGATGAAAGCGTTATTTCCAAAATGAGCCTAAACCTTGTCTTTTCTAACCTTGTTTGCATTCTAAGTCCTCTGGTGTTTTAGTTATTAGATGTTTCCTATTTTCTTTCCCTTCTCACCCCCATAGACTTGAGTCTTTGTCGGAGCGAAGCGGTATGTGCATCTGTATAAACAGTCTTGTAAACACAGATGAAAGCATGCTTATTGCAGGGTGGGCCATTAAACAGACACACATTGTGCAGAGAGAGAAGGGAAAAAAAGAATATGAACAAAAAGAGCAAGTTTTATTTTGTCCTCTTTCAGTAGCTTCCCAGAGTTCTCCATGACGGAGGCTTTCACATTTTGTAACAGGGCAGGGATTTCAGGGATATTGCTTGTCTTTCGGGCTGGTTATTTCTTGGAGATGGTGACTGCTGAGTAAGCAATGTGCCTGTTTTCAGGTGACCTAACTTGACGTGCTTTAGCCAAATCCATTTTAGCTTCTCAACTTGAAGTCAGTTGCTTGAGACTGAGAACAGCCGGCCCGGAATGACAAGAGCAAGCTCAGGGTCTTTTCCCAGTGCCCCCTGCTGCGATCTGAGGACAGTACCAGCTGGCCAGTCCCAGGAAAATCTCTGAAGCCGTATGTTTCTGAGGAGGGTTTCTTAGAGGGTTCTGGCCAACAAGTGACAGTGGGTTGGTTATAAATGGCAAATTTGCTCTGGGAACAGATCCTCCCCTGATAGCCTCCTCCAGCCCCAGCACCCCGCCTCACTCTGGGAACGCTCTTGGCCAACTGGCCTGTGGTCTGTTTCCTTTCCTCACCCTCGCTCCACTCCTTGGGCCAGCCTTTGGCACTTTTTCCTGAACCCACTGTGCAAGAGCCCTGTCTCTTTTTTCCCCCCATGTCACCAACTTGCTCCCCTTAGCCATTAACTTTCATCTAGATTTTCTTTTTCTTTTTTCTTTTTGGTGTAGTGGATTGAACCCAGGACCCTTAGCCCCTTTTATTTTCTATCTTGAGATAGCATCTTGCTAAATTGCTAGATTGCCCCGGGGTGGGCTTAAACTTGAAATCTTCCTGCCTCAGCCTCCCAGAGTGTTAGGATTATAGGAATGTGCCACCACGCCCAGCTCAGAAGCTCTTTTAATTACTTTCTCCTAACTGTTGGTCACTGACTTACAAGAATAGCATCAAAATGTACAACTTATCATGAAACATGTGTGTTTCAGATGTACACCAGCCCCCGGCAAGCAGCAGCTGGAATCAGATCAACTCATATAAACAAATGGCTTGATTCTTTACAAAGCTTCCCCTACAAGCATTGTTAACTTCCTTTTAAGGCTTCACAAGTGAGCTAGTTTCTTATTTTATCTTCAGGTTACAATTTTCTGATTCACTCCTTGACAGTTCTTAATGATAATTTCTGTTGCTTTTTTTGGCTAATGAAATAAGCAAGAGAAGAGAAATGAATGCAGTGCCAGTCAGCCTGTTTTGCAATATCTGAATTTCTAAGTTTATTTTCTGCAGGTGTAGGTGGAATTTCATTGCTTTCTGTGGCAACTGGCAAACCAAGAGTTAAAGCAAAGGATGGTGTGTTCTTAGAAATGCTATCGCAAGTGTTTTGGCGTTCTTTTACCTTAGTTTCTTCTAACATTACAAAATTAAATGCTAACTTTCCAAATTAAAGTCTCAGGAATGCTTTTAGATGGGGGAGGAGTTTGATAGGCTTATATTTGCTTACAGATATGCCTTCTGGATTATTTTTAAGGACTCCCGGGGCATTTTTAGAGTACTTTTAAATCTTTAATTAATCCACAACTTGTGGTGGGTCAATGATATTGTGGATGAGAAGCACAGAACAGAATGATTGTGTGATTAGCAAATCATTACAAAGAATTACCTAGACAGAAGTATTGGACTCACTTTCAGCATTGTATCAAAACCTCAGAACTTCCTGAGGACCCACAGATGTCCCAAATCTGTGCAATACACATTATCTGTCCCTTTGGTGGTCACTCTATATTGATGCTTATTTGTATCAATTTAACAGTTTGTTTGAATATACTAGAAGCCAGGATCTCTGTGGCTGTTTAATAGGAAAGAAGTGAGCTCTGAAATAACATCTTGGGTTTAAGTCCATATAGTATCAAGTTTTATTTCTCACTAGAACAATGTTAATTAGGACATCATTAAAGAATTAGAAGTCCGACCAGTTTGCAAAGAGAATCATCACAAAATCATAGTTTCCTTTATAACCAGCAGTCTTGGAAGAAACCACAATACATAGGTTTTTGGTTATTTGTTTGCTGATTAGTTTGATAACAGAATTAGAGGATAAAGGGTACAGTTTGAGAACAGACTCTTATTTCTCCTGCTGTTTTGTTTTGTTTTGTTTTGTTTTGTATATTTTATGATTGGAGAATCTCTTGTGAAAAGTATGTATCAGATTGACCTAAAATTGAGCATTTGGGCTGTTAGGGTTTCTGTTAATTTATATAGTTTGTTGTTCTTATATCATTACTTAGAGTACGCCTTTACAACCGTGTAACGTGCTGAAATAGAGCTATAAGCAAGTGGTTAGAAAGGGAACTCAAGCCACCCTGTGATTAAGAAGCATCATGCGACGACGCTGACCCAGGACAGAGGAATCTGGTGCTCATTAAATATTTACACTTTGGCTCCGTTGGTATTATGTTCATTGACTAAGCAGTAAAAATTGTAGCAGCTTTTTAAAGAATATCCTGTTACTGTTTCATCTGAAACACATTCTCTCATTCCCCAGATTTCGTCGCCAGCTCTCTGAACCCTGTAATTCCTTTCCTCCTTTGCCGACAATGCCACGGGAAGGACGTCCTATGTACCAACGCCAGATGTCTGAGCCAAACATCCCCTTCCCGCCACAAGGCTTTAAGCAGGAGTACCACGACCCAGTATATGACCACAACACCATGGTTGGCAGCGCGGCCAGCCAAAGCTTCCCCCCACCTCTGATGATAAAACAGGAGCCCAGAGATTTTGCATATGATTCAGGTAGGCCCATGTTCTGATTTAATTACACCATATATTCTTTCCCCTCTCGTCAGTTTATTGTCTGGCTGCGTGGCTAGAGAAATTTGAAATTTTCTCTGTATGTAAAAGGTTGGAGCATCAAACCATTTTGCCATGAGCCAATGTCTGGAAATGAAGCCAGTTGAGTGGAAAGTGCAATTTATAAAATTCTACATGTATATGTAAATTTATAATCCAAGAGGGCTAAGAGTACATTAGGAAATACTTCAGAAGTGGTTGTTAGGTTTTTCTGGATTCTGTGATTTTTTTTTTCTATTTTTGCTACATTGGGGCTATTTAAAAACTATGTTTATGCAAAGTAACATTCCTCTGTATTGCTTAAAATAAATTATTAGTGTCAAAGATTCCAAGGGTCCATAAGTAAGAATTCTTACATATTAGCGCAGAAATAGCAAAATACAGACACATGGCTCCTTCATGGGGCTCAGCTTTGCCTCGCTGTGCTAGACGGCACTGCAAAGTGTGGTCTGTCAAGCAGAGACAGGGGCTTCCCGAAGGAAGAAGGGCTTAAAATTGATTCCAAATGTTATCACCAGTTTGCCAACATTTAATTTTAAGATTTTAGAAAAATTACTAAATTCCTCTCCATGGAGTTTTGCATGCTATAATTTGGGAATGAGGACATCTGCTTTCTGGCCCTCTCAGGTATTGTTTTTAAGTGTATGAAATGAAAGCTAATGTTATGAGAAGGGTGCCCGGTGTGTGTAATCATAGCATTACTGTAACCATGGACCTCAGATGGCTGTGGATGTGGGAGTATCTGAGAGCAGTGCTATCCTCTCTTGTCTGAATGCAAAGGTATGGGCATTGTTCATGAAGGAACTATTATGTCTGTAGTAATGCAAGGTGAACCCTATGATACAGAAGACTCCTACCATCCTTCGTACCCTTCCTCAGTGGGCAAGAAGGACTCAGGGAACTGATTGCTTCCCAGACCCTCACTCCAGCTGGTCCTGGTGCACTCCAACAGGTCACCCCAGCCTCGTTATCTCTGAGTGTGGAGCACTTTGCTCCTGTTTGTCCAATAGGTGTAAAGGCATGGTCAAGAGTCAGCCGTGCATGAGCGGATGAGGGTGAGCCTGGGTGTGTCCGTTAGGCTAGCTGTAAGGGCTCTTTGCATGGTGCAATGCTGGGTTGAGAAACAGGGAAAATCTGAATGAAGCCTGGACCTCAGCTCTCTCCATATGATTCTACTCCAAGGTTAATCTTGAGAGATTTCTTTAAACACTAAATTTAATCTGACTTTCTGAGTTGTGCCATCTTGGTATATTTTCAGAGATGGAGAGAAGAGAATACATTTACCTGTTTAGCTGTTTTGTAATGAAAATATTTTAAACATATAGCTTGAGGGCCTTTACTGCAACTCATTTCCACAGTCTGTAATTTGGTGACTATCTAGAATTGTCTTGTAGACTTTCATTTCACAACTTTTTTCTATCTGCCCATTAATTTCCATGTTAACATCTTGCAAGCCAATTGGTCTCTGTTATATATAAGATACACTTGTGTCTATAAATTTCATATTCTGTGGCTTGACTTATCCATATTTTATAAATTATATTTTAATTTGTTGCAGTTTTTAAAAATTCATTCATCAGTGTTTTGAGAAACACAATACATGGAAATGGTATGAAGTAGCCTAGATAATCATTCAGAAGGAGTTTTATAGCATGGCATTTAAAAAGTTTCTTTGTTCTAAAATTTTTTATATGGATAATATAAGATATAATGTTGAAAGGCATTCTCTATTTTTTGTGATTTGCTCTATGTAGATCTACAGTTATATTACACACTGAATTATATGTAGCATGGTAGTGAGGCTTTACAACTTTTCTTGAGGAGCTGTGACCAAACAGGTGATGTGAGGATTCTAATTAGATCAGAACGTAGGAATGTGGCACTGTAAGAGTTAACTGCATTATTTGCAGGCCATCTATACTGTGGTCTTCAGAACTGGCCACTGTATGATCCTTCAAAGCACAGATTCTATCACACAAAAGCTACAAAAGCATAGTCTCACATCCCATTCTACGGCTTATAAAACATTTGCTTAATATTTGAGGAGCTACTAAGTTGTGTTATTTTCTGCATGCTAATTATATTTTAAGTTGCCAGTGCTGTACAACACTTTTGAATTAAAATTTCAAAATTACTAATAGGGTTCATTTTTGTTATATGAATTGGTAATGATGAAGCTTTTGGGCTTGATTTAAAAGAAATGCAGTAACCATTAACCTAAGCCCATGAAAAATTAATGTGTTTTCAAAGTTTATTTTACAGGTCACCAAACCACTGTTCTGAAATTGACATCTCTAAATGTCCTATATGGTAATCAACTTTTATGATCCCTAGATATTTTGTTTTGTTTTCATTAGCTCTTTATCCTTGGTGAGAGCACAGCAAATAACCTTTTAAGGGATCAAATATATTTATAAATGAAGCCTTGATTTATTTTTTTGCATATTGGTGTTTAACAAACAACATATAAGGAAATATTTTGCATGTGGTTTGAAAAGCATTACAGAAAACACTTTGTAAGTCACTTCACTCAGCATCTATGATCCAAATGTTATCCTTTCAGAAGGCCTGCAGGACTCTGTTGCTTAATTCAATATACCATAAATGTTGTGACAATAAAAGATGGCTTAAAAGGGAAAAGCCAGCATGATTGTGCTCTAATAAAGCCTGACATTAATTATGACATGGGAAATGGAGGGTCTATTAGTTATAATTATAATTACAGGAATGCAATTTTAACTGCCGAATATTTAATATAAAAAATTCAAAATATTATGTTAGTAGAGTAGATAATTTTTTTTTAGCAGAGACAAGGAAAAATTTGCTTCCGAAGACCGAGAGGACATAAGAAATAGTTCTTTTTTGTTTGATTATTTTTGTTCGTTTGAGACAGTATCTCACTACCTAGATCAAATTCACTATGTAGCCCAGGCTGGCTTCTAACTCAAAATCATCTACCTGTCTCCCCCTTCCAAATCTGGGATTATAAATGTACACCACCATATCTAGCAAGAAAGAAACATTTGGCATCCAGTTTGGTGAGCTGAAGAACCAATGTCAGTGAGCTAGTACAACCCAGTCATGTTGTGTTGTTGTATCATGTTGTAAATTCCAGCATAACTATCTACTTTGTTACATTCCCTCTCTTTCAGCCTGCTCCAGGAAGCAATATATACATTTTGTATTTGTTGGTTGGTTTTCCCAAACCCAACATTATTTTTTTTTTCTTTTCTTTCTTTTTCCCCCTCTAGAAAGAAGTAACCACATAGAAAGAATGAAATTTGTATTGAGTGATTTATTTGGAGTACTTTATGCAAAACCCCTCAAGCACTGTCATTTTCATAGATCAGTAACTATTTGCCGATTTTCATGCTAATGTATATGATTTTAAGGGTTTAAAAAGCCCAACAAAGCAGATATCTTAGTGTTTAGAGCAATATTTTATTGGAGTTGTATGTGTTAATTGGTTGGTACTGTTTTATTCTGTTTCATTTTATTTTTTGATAACATGGAGAATTTGGGGAGGTTACAGGCATATAAAACTAAAAATTTGACTTCAAAATATCAACACAAAATGTTCCCATACTGTGATTAGATAATTTACTCTCAGGACTTCATGCTGTGAATAGTGACAGATACCCAGTGAATGAAAGAATCAGGATGAAACATGAGAATGCATCGAATGGTAAAAGTAAGTTATGGCTACCAGCAAAAGAAATATCCTTTAACCTTTAGAAGTCAGTTTTTTAAATATTTGATGAACTAAGACCACTGAATTAAAAATAAAACTTACGGAAGATATGTCTAGAACGTAAGACTCATCACAGTCAGGACAGATGAATGGTGTCCTAGGTGAATTGTGTTTTCTCTATGAAGTGCTTTCTGTTTTCCTAATCAGACAATAAGGTTTTGTTTTTAAATCTTTCCCATTGGACTTGAAGAATAGAGGTGCCTCAATCAATCACATCATTCCTATAAAAGAAAAGAACACTAAGCACACGATGACATTGTAGCCTCATGTGTTACAAATCTAAATGACTTTCAGTTATTCTGTGGCCTGGACTGCTGGAGAGAAGCTAGGGACAGTGATCATCTGTCCACAGTGTCTGGGATTCCACCATTGGCACTAGGCTTCTTTACATGTTGAGAGGCACTAAAAATCTTAACCTACTTCAGATTCTCTCCCCATGCCTAACTTTTACAGAAGCAATGGCAGAGGTTTATCTAACTTAACTTACGATCTAGCTTTACAGATTTTTTTAAACATTACTAAGATTTTCTAATTCTTAAGTTAGCACATAGTAAGGTCTGACAACTTCTGTGATTTTTCTGCTATTTTTTTTTCCTGCTAGTAGAGATTGAACCGAAAACCTTGCACACTTGCTAAGCAAACTCTCTGCCACTGTGAAACAGTGCCAGTCCTAAATGTTACTGGCCAGAGCAAAGAGAAATAATTTATAGTTTGTTGCACATATTATTGACAATTTATTCTAATCTGGACAGTTTTTTCTTTGTTTTTAGTATGTTTAAGACTCTTTCTATGATTCAAAGTAAAGTTTTTTAAAATGTGTGGGTAGGGCCAGGGGTTTAGCTCAGCGGCATAAGCACCTGCCTCGTAAGTGTGAGGTTGTGAGTTCGATCCCTGGTTTCAATAAATAAATAGATAAGTAAAATGTGTGTGTAGGGCAAGATACTGGGAATTGAGCTCAGGGCCTTTGCACTGAGCTATGTGCCCAGTCCTTTTTTCTATTTTTCATTTTGAAACAGGATCTCATTAGGTCTCTGAGTTGTCCCAGTCAGGCTCAAACCCGATACTTGTGGCTCAATCTCCCAGGGTGCTGGAATTAATAAGTGGGCATCACCACACCTGGCCAGGGACTAAAACTTTAAAGCGTGTGATTTTCTTAATTTGTGGACACGAGTATTTCACATTTCAAATGTTT